GCCCGAAAAGGGAACAGAGACGCGTGACAAACACAGTGATGAAGCTGGTATGTGTTTGCAGAACACAAGCCACGGTTAAGACAGCTGACTCCACTGTGATGTGACCCTCCTCTCTCACGCTCTCTCTCTCTCGCGCGCTCTCTCGCTCTCTCGCTCGCTCGCGCTCTCTCTCTCTCTCGCGCTCTCTCTCTCTCACGCTCTCTCTCGCTCGCTTGCGCTCTCTCTCTTGAAATCGCATCATATGACCCCTTTAAAAACAAACAGCGCAATCGATGTACACCGATTCGCGAACGAATGATTCTTATGAGTCGGTTATTTTCTGGGGGAGCTGCAAACATACAACGCGATCAGTTCGATTCCCGAATGAACGATTCGTCTGAACCGATTCCTTATAGTATCAAAACCAAACTGCGCGATCGGTGTACCCTGATTCCCAGATGTATATGAACTGAATCTGGTGTTTCCTCTTGCTTTGGAGAGCATGGCAGTTAGTGGTTCAATGGATCACAAATCTCACGGTTCGGATCATATTACGGTTTTTGAGCCACGGATCGGATCATTTTTCAGATCAGCAAGAAAAAAAAATCTATGTAACTTTGCTTTCCATAAGTACGATACCACAGTAGAAACTCTTAGCCTAAGAAAGTTCAAACATTATTAAAGAGACAAGTGAACAGCCAGTAAAAATAAGAACAAATAGGCTACACAAATTACAAGCACAGATAAATACCGTATTGGCCCGAATATAAGACGACCCTGATTATAAGACAACCCCCCTTTTTTCCAGATGTACCTTTTGGAAAAAGGCTTTTTAAAAACCAAATCTTGTTTTTTTTCTCAGTAAAACACATTTTGTCTTCAATTATTTTCATATTGCATATTTTTCCTATTTTAATTTTTGTTTTGAAAGTATGGTAAAAACTGGTCAAATGTACCAACAATCACATTTAAAAAATATACACTTTTTGATATACCATTAAAAAAAAAATAAAAAATTAGGACATTTACACGCATTACATTACGTATTTTCATGGCACACTCGTTTTATGCGTATTTGGCACCACCTGTTGTTGTGGGTGTATTATTGACATGTCAAAGTCTAGACCCTGAATATAAGACGGCCGCGTTTTTTCAGATGTATTTCCAAGAAAAAAACATCGTCTTATATTCGGGTCAATACGGTACAACAGAACAATGTTACAAATAAGGTCGGTAGTATTCAGATACAGAAATGTAATAATTAAGTGTAAAATAAAACTGCATAGTGTTCACTGTATAAATTAAAAAATTGATTCATCTTTGTCAAAAACGTGTTTTGTGGTTTGATGAGCATAATGACAGCAGCAGGTATTATTAGGCTGCTGCCACTTTAAGACCTGATGCATGGATCCAATATAGCCTAATGATACACATCCGATTTCTCTCTCAGCTGTTCTCGTTCACTTAAGACACAACAGACTGCATTTGCCACAATGATTGTCGAGATCGGTATTTTGTCATAATTTTATGTGTACTGTATATGCGTCTGTTCAAAGGCAAGGAGTGAATGAGATAGGAAAGATGGTTCAGTTCGGTGTTCGTGCGCAGTCAAATGCGCCTCTGCATGTGCGAGCTTCATGTTTGTGCGGCTGTGATAGAAAACGGCGCGCGAGTAACGAATCGAGTTCCATTTCGCCTTTTCCTTCGCTAGAATGGTTTAAAATCGCTTGCATGTGTAAACACGTACAATTGATAAACTTTCATTCTATTGTGGTTAAATTTTGCAATTAATCCGAGAATCACATGCGTGCCGAACCGTGGGACTTGGTCCGTACGAATCACGGATCAACTACGACCCGTTTAACCACTAATGGCAGTAGATCCTGGCAACCCAGTGTTGCTAGGCAGTGCTTTTTAGGTGTACATGGACTTGCTTCTATTTAGGGGAAAAAGCAGGAAAGACTGTGAAGAAAGAGACCAGTCTCTGGTATTCTCTATTTTTCTGTGATTCCTTTGACCGTTTCATTGCAATGTTGTCTCGGCTCCAATAAAACACACCCTCAAAGGAATTATTCCAAACTTGTATGACTCATGTTTTTCTGTGAAACCTACAAAGTTGAAGAATGCTGGCTGCTGTTTTGGATAGTTAATAAAAGTGAATGGGGACTGGAGCAGTCAAGCTCCAAAATGATCAAATTCAATATAAAAGCATCATAAAAGTGGTCCATATACTACACAATGTACTGAAACCGTATAGAAATTTAAGTCAAGATCGTTTGAAAAGGCGATGTTTTGACACGTTAGTGGCATCAAAATACAATTTTGTAAAGCTTTTTTAAAGTGACTTAAAGAGGTCATATTTAAATTTTTCCTTTCTCTTTGGAGTGTTACAAGCTCTTGGTGCATAAAGAAGATCTGTAAAGTTGCGTCACAAAAAAAACTGCATCCACTGTTCCCTTAACGCTGGGTTCTATGTGAAGCTAAACAAGGTTATCTATCCCTCACAACCAAATCCACACTTCTTAGAAGAAATTCTTCTCGAGCAAGTCCTGTGCAGCTCTGACGACGACTTCTGTAACCCGAATGAAGCACGTTGATGGGCTGCTCTCGCTCTGTTTGCTGTGTGCGCGCTCTTCCGGGAGAAGTGCCCATATAAGGAATTCCGCTCTTTATGACATCATACAGGGCCATACTCGAAAAAAAATTTCTGAAACTTATACAAACCCTGAAGGAGTGTATTTGCCACAGAAATACTCTGTCATATGTCCAACTCGTGTTTAGAAACTTCATGTTTAGCGTGAGAATCCAAATCTTTAACTGTCTAAATAAGTCAGAATGCATGAAATAGCATTAGACCTCCCCTATAAAGTAAATATAAAAGCAATATATAATAATACAGTCATATAAAATGTGTTCGGTCTTCCCAAATATCAAATTTTTTTTCAGTGCATATCTTGTGATCATTCCAACATGAATTGAAGGCAGCATCATTCCTGAGACTGATTTTCTTTTGGTATCCATGGTGACTTTTATAGTGGACTGGGTCTGGGTTTGTTACTAATGGTCCATGTCCTCATCCTGCACAAGACTGACACATTTTTCTATACACGTAATTCCAGCTCACCTGCTCTGAGGACATTTACTCATATCAGCTGTGAGAGTCTCTGCAGTAATAGTGCAGCAGAAAATAGCTGTTATTTTTGAGCTTGTCTTTCTTAACAGGAAATGTATCTCACCACAGCAGATTCACAGCATGATGCCTGAAAACCACAGTCAATTTTACCCTGAGCCCACCCAAGCATGATGCATTTCTAGATAGCAGCAGTGGACTGTAGATTAGTACTGTATCATGAGATTATGTGGCCACTTTGGCTGCCCAGAGCTTGAATTTAGGATTTCTAATCAAAAGTTCTAGAATATATTTTGTGAAACTAATAGTTCTGATTCTGAGTTCTGATTAGATGAGTCCTGTTCAAAGTAACCGAATGTAATATATGGATGAAAGCTAATGAAGTATATTACTTAGCAGAAGACGGTTTGTTCTGAATATTATGACTAGTAAATGTAGTATTTATTGAATATCTTTCATGATATCACTGACTACATTTATGGTGCTTTTGATGGAGCTTAATAGACATTTTTATCACATAATATTTATGGGTATAGAATATCGACTGTTTGTTTGGTCACAAAAAAAATGCTATACAGGTAACTGATCATATCATTTTTTTATGTTTAAGTGTGGGTGCAGAACTGATTTATTTTAAGGCTTAAAAAACATTTAAAACATAATATGCATTAATAAAAAAAACAAAAATAAAATGACGTGTAGCCAATTATGGTGTCCCTTACTTGGAATTTTTGCTTTGCATTTAACCAATCCAAGTGCACACACACAGCAGCGAGTAGTGAATTTAATTTATAAATTAATTTTGGAGCTTGATAATTAATAATAATATTTATGGGTATGGAATATCAACCTTTTTTATTGGTTACAAAAAATATACAATCGTAGAAGATTATTTAATTCTTAATACTTTTTTGTATACATTTTAATTCCTTTGTTTAACAGTTCTATCTGATTATTAGATAGACTTCTATCCATATTAGACAG